AATAGATTAACTATTGTTGACCTGTACGGACTTGAGGTTGTACCCAGCTGGACCTGAAATTTTCTTTGTTTTGCACAGACTTGGCTTAAGAAACCTGCACCTCGGACGTACCCAGTCCCTAACAAGTTCCTGGGTGCTGGCCATAAGTGACTTTGTGTTGAGAAGACCTTAGCTGTAAATCAGATCTCTGGCACGGAGATATCTTTTAATTTGTGCTGTGGAAATCAATGGCAGTAGGTAGTATCCTTGGCAAAAGCAGACAAGGAGGTTTTGAGCTTGGAATGGCATTTTCATTTATAGCTTTGTAAGACTGAATAAGGGAGACTGTGTTACGTGATGCAGAGTGAAAATAAGGTAGAAGTGAGAAAGGCTGTTCCAGACCTGTTTGACGCTGTAACGAAAGCACAGTTTTCTTCATTAAGATTAAATTTTGCTTTATTATTGTTCTTGGATTCTGTACAGGTGTGATTAGCGTGACTCTGGGTCTCTGAGAGAAAAACAGTTAATTGGAGTTAATTTAGTTTAAAATCACGATCACGTGCTTACCTGAACTCTTTGTATTAGTGTTGTGTCTCTTGTTTTTTGTGTGGGTTATTCTCTTCTTCAGGACATAGCCTTAAGTCGAAGCACGCTTGTGAAAAATTCACTCCTTCCTTGGCCGCGGGCTCATGCGTGCTTATGTTGTTACAGTTGTGCTATACGTGAAGTAACAAATGAATATCCTATACCGTTAAGATTTAAAATACTTTAATAATGTGTTGAATTGTCAGAGACTGGAACGCGACTGTGCTTTGGGAGTGTTTCCTCCTAGGGATGGTGCTGATTTTTTTCCTTCTCTCTTTTTAGAAGTGCCCGGGAAAGTGTCTTGAGGTCGGGCAGCAAGAGCAGAGGGAATGCCCTCTCCCTTCGGGTGAGAGCCAAAGCTAAGCCGCTGGCGTTACTGGCAAAGTCTGGAGAGTACAGATTTTTTTTCTTTTTATTAAATGGGAGATCTGTGACATTGTTGTCTTGAGGCCTTTGAAATTTCAGAACAGCGGATTCCTTTGGAGACGGGAATATGGCAGACCTTGTTCCTGCAGGACATCTGAGCAGACATCCGGTGGTCAGAGCTCAGCGCTCGCTTTTCCGTATGAATGTGGAATATTGTCCCAGTGATCTAGGGCTTTAGGGTTTTGAGTACGCTCTCACAAGCTCAGGATGAACAAACTGGCTCATCGCCATTGAAAGGGCAAGTCCTGTTCCCACTTCTCCCTCTCCTACCTGTTCCTGACAGCTCAGTGAGCTGATTTAACTTGCTGGAATGGTTTTTCTGCCATTTTAACTGGAGAAAAAAAAAAAAGAGAGAGAGATGGGTTTGGTGGTGCTCTGTGAGCTAAGCAAGCTTGACAGAGGATCCCAGAGCACCATAAGTTGTGTGTTTAAGGGAAAGGGAATCATGAGGTTGGAACCGGAGGAGACCCCTTTCCCCCTGGTAACAAGCTGTGATGTTGGCTCAGCTGCATGTAAAAGGATACCCTGTGTTTAGCCCCTGTATGTCCAAACTCTCTCCTAATCCGTGTGTGGTAAAGGCGTCACGGAGGATTTTCTGCTTAGTCACGTTTGAAGCCGTTATTCTAGATACGGAGATTAACCGGACGCAAAAAGTTTGCCAAATAGCTTCCTTAAAGTGCTGCGTCAGGCTTTAGGGTCAGGGGAAAAGTGCAGGGTCAGGGGTAGCAGAAGGGGAAGATCAGGTGACAGCTCATGTGCTGCATCTGTTCTTGCCATGGAGACCTTTCAAAGCATGAGCAGCAACTTGGATGCGGAAGCGTGAGCGACTTGACTCAGCGTTTCAAATAAAGTTGCGCCAGGTCATCTGCAAGCACGTGCCCAGCGCCTGTGGGGAAGCCGCTTGTTTGGTCAACTGTAAACCCAGAGTTCCCCATTTCTCGTTTTGTTTAAACGTGGCTTGAGCTTGCTAGAGTGCAGCGCTTGGAGTTGATGCGAATTTGAGAAACGCTTGTTTAGCAAGCTGAGCGCGAGGCTTTTCCCCCAAATCTCGTGTCAGGCTTTTTTAAAAAGCCTTGCCGACGCAATTAGTGCGCTGCATCTGCAGAGCTCAGAAGCATCCTCTGCCAGCCGGCTCAGTTTTGTGATCTCTAGTATGTGCGCGTAACGGTAGCTTGTATGGAATCAGTCGTGGAAAGTCGGTAGCTAATTTAATGAGATTCTCAGCATTAAAATCCTGAGTGCCTGGAGTCGGTTAGGTTAAAATAAATGCTCAGGTATTGCCTGCCCCACCTGATGAAGGGGAAGTAATGAACCAGTTCTGCCTGTCCGGTTAAATGTGGTGTTAAGCAAGTCTGAGCACCACCCATCCTGAATACAAGAACTGGTTGGAGAGTTTCACCCTTGTTGTTCTTTTTTAGTTCACCCTGAGTGCTTTTGCTTTTATGATGGCCTCTCCTTTTTTTTTTTTTTTTCCCTCCTCCTTTTTTTCTGGGTCGTTATGGAGGCTTCTTTTCACTTGCTTTGCCCCATCCTAAGACATTGAAGAGGCAAATGGCATTGCCAGGGTCCTTCTGTCTGGTCTGGTTCATTTGACGTGCACCTGTGGTGTATTTGTTGCTGCTGTTCTCCACGTGGCCTGTGAGTTCAGAAAGCCTGTTAGGAATGAGCTGGAAGTTGTTTGAGAATTGAAAAGCGAGTCCAGCATGTTTGTGCTGGATCTCTCTGCTATGCTTAGCTGTCAGTTTTGACGTAGTTGCTTTCCTTTGTGCTACAGTATGTTCTTTCAAGTCTTGGGAAGCTTTGTATGTATAATGACTGTATCTAGTAACAAAAGAGCTCTGGCAGGTCTTGTGGCAGTGTTTAATATTAAAATCTCTTTTGATAGCGGGCAAGGTTTTTGCTTCCTGTGATGCTGAGAAGTAGCCACATAGGGAGATCTGTGTTGTTGCTGGATACCTTATAAAGCAGCCTGGTATTCTAGCAGTGGTATCATTCCCTCCCCTGCTGCCCTTAAAATAAAACCTGGAAAGGAGGTGACAGGGAATGCGAAATACAAGCCAGTTAGTTGCACCATGAGAGGCTCAAATTTCAGAAGGGCCACAGAGGTCTTTGCCAAAATGAGTCAATGTTTTAAGTCTGTAAACTGGCTCTAACTTTAGGTCAAGTTAGTGACTTAAGTAGACTTAGTCATACTCTCCTGTGTTGCAACTTAAACAGAGAAATGGGAGAAATAACCAGCTCCAATTATAGTAAGCTATGTTGCTTGTAGTTGAGATTGTATAGTGGAGAAGGTCAGGCAACCCTGGTTATGGCAATTTACAGAAACTTTGGCAAACTTTCAGCATTTGAACTGACGTTTTTTATATTGAGTGTCTCATTTTTCTTTTAAAGCTTGCTGAAAAGGTAGCAATATTTAAGAGTAAGATTGGGGAAGCATGCATCGTTTTTCTTTCTGTGTCACAAACTGTTTGCAGCTGTTACTTGGATACTTTCCTGCCTCTTTTTTCCCCTTGTCTCCCCCCTTTTTAAAAAGGAATGGAAACGTGATTATGGATCAGTCACCAAAGTCCAGGGAAGAGCCTTTGGGTGTTCCTATTAAAGCCATAGTGAATGTGACTGTTCTGGACTAAATTTATCTCTATATTTTTGCATACATCTTATACACTTAGTGAGCATGCTTTGCTGTAAACAGGAATTGTTTGTATAAATCATCTGGGAACTGAAATTCAGTACCTCTTTATTTTCAGAAATCCTGGCAAAAATGTCATGTTCCTTCAATAACGATGACTCGCTTAACCATAATGTTCTCTCCTTCCAGGTGCTTTCTTGCTCATGTGGAAAAAAATTGGGCCATGTGTTTAAAATTCTCTCAGTTGCAGTTTGGCTAGCAGAATATTTCCAGATAACCTAAAAAAGTGAAACTAGCTATCCAGTTTTCTGAAAGCTCAGATAATAACTAAGAGAACGGTAAAGCTTCATGGTAATGGGGTAAAAGCTGAGTTAAGCTTGTCCATCGAAGCTTTGAATTTTCTTTTACCTTTGTGCAATTGTAAATTGGTGCAACTGTGTTGTCTTGTCCTGTTGGACCTCCTAGACACTGCCCCCCCCACCCCAGGTTATTTCTCTTTCTTTAGTGTGTAGGATAAGTTTCCTCTGGAAATAAATGGGGATTGTGTAGTGAATGGTGCTGCTACAAGTACTTCTATTTTGCTTATTGGTCTCAGCTAGCTGAGAAAGTTAATAGCTTTGGTGTGAATGCTGGCAGGAAAAGAGCTGACTGAAGAAAGCCACCCTGGAAAACTGTCACCTCTGCAGCAAAGTTTTTCATGTACGATTTTTGGACAGCAATAAAAAGCCGAGTGGCTGATTCTGGATCCACTGGAAGTGTTTGGACAGGATTTGCATAAATGCGCTCGTTACGAAATTAACTGGTGATATCTTGAAGCTAAAAGAAATGCTGTGAAATGCTGAGTGCTAAACAAGCTCCTATATATTATCATTTAGGTGTCTAAAATAAGTGGTCATGTAGTAGGGCTCTTCATCTTCTTCATATGTAAAAAGGGCTGTCTACCTTTATGCAAAAGTGAAGTAATTTTTGGGGAGCGCTTGGCTTGCTATGTGTAGTGCCATGAAAGCTCTACGAAGACATAAATAAATGCTGCACTGAATATGAGTTAAATAAGGATTGGGCCTATTCAAAACAGGAAAACTAAAAAGATATGCAGGGGGTCTATTCAATGAATGAGATACTTTCTGTGACAATATGTAATTAAGGTTCTTATCTTAATGCTTGCCCAAAAAGCGAGGGGTGTGGGGTGGTTATAGAGAGTGATGGTTGTGCAAGCAGTCTTTTATCTGGGTATTGCCGCCCTTTTTGAGAGGGCATGACTGAAGCATTAGTGTTCCTTGACGTTTTGATTGGGGTATAATGAGATGCATGTTTATTAGACACCTTTCTGTGTTGCAGTGTGATGCATGGTACTGATTCCCCTTGCTGTCTAATTGAGCAGGTGTTCTGGCGCTCTGGGCCCTAATCACGCATGTGATGTATGTGCAGGATTACTGGAGGACCTGGTTAAAAGGGCTGAGGTTCTTCCTCTTCATCGGGATCCTCTTCTCAGCTCTCTCTGTGGTGGGATTCTGCACATTCCTTGTTCTGGCCATCACCAAGCACCAGTGTAAGTATTTTGTTGCAGCGGGGGAGAAATTGCTAACAATGCTGGCGTTAGTGGGATTGTATTTGCTTTGATAGACCTAGTCTTACTGGCAGGCAGTCTGCGTTTTCCAGCTTTATTTCCTCCTAGAACTGGAATTTACTTCTATGACAAATAAGGCGAGTGCTCATAAACATCATTTCCAGCTCTCATAAAGCAGGTGGGTGAGGATTTTGAAACCTAAACGCTAGTCAGCAGGGTGAAAATGCCTTTTAAACTTAGTCAGCCTATGAAGTTGTTCTGAGGTAAAATATTTAGCATTGTCAAAGGAGGGATCACATTGTTACTCGCAGTATTTGATTGGCATTAGACTGTCAATTTGTTTTCCTCCACAGAACTTGACAGTCTCTGTTGCTTGCTGCATTTCAGCTTGTAGTCTCTAAAAGTCCTATTGTTGTTCCCATGGTGGTGGGCAAGCTCCATTTGGGTCAGCACCTATCACGTGTCCTTCACTTAGGCCTAATAGGTTGTATAGCTCATATTTCACTGCAATTTCTGGTGGTGCACATGGCAGTGAAGAGTGGCCAGAGGGGACAGATATGACCTGGCGGAGCAAAGGAGGACGAGAGCCATACAGAGAACAGCGCCAAACATGAGGTGAAGAAGACAGAAGTACTTTGGGTATATGCATGAAACTAAGTTCTGAGGATCTTTGCCTCAGTACGGCCTTTAAAAACAACAGTGTGTGAAGCAGAAACACTGTAGTTCAGTGAGACTGCTGGTCCCTGCTCTGAAATCTTTGGTCCACGCACTGGACACTGAAGTTCAGGTCTGCTTTTGAACAAGAACTGAGAGGCTGAGGTGGGTTCTTCCTGGATGACTGCATGAGGAATAATAGGGATTCTTAAATGTATCTGTTTCAATTTTTTTTTTTTTTTTCCTCCTAGCCCTGACTGATCCCAGAAGCTACTACCTGTCATGTGTCTGGAGTTTCATCTCCTTGAAATGGGCCTTCCTGCTCAGTTTGTACGCTTACCGGTACAGGAATGAGTTTGCAGACATCAGTATCCTTAGTGACTTCTAATGCTTGGACTTAACCCTGTCTGAAGGTGCTGAATGTTTGAACTGGCCCCCAAAGGCATGGTACACGCAAGAGATCTACAAGAGGCGAAGCAGGAACCCACCCAATGCAGCTTGGTTTGTCTCTCTGCAGTAGGGATTTTTCCTAATTGCTTTTATTCAAACATTTAAAGTTTGGCTAGTTATGTCAACCTAGTGTTTCTGTAACTTTCCTGGGAGTCTGTGTGTCTGGTGGTGAGTTGAAAGACTCCATCTGCATATGCACAGCAAGCTTAGATTCACTCTTGGCATTGCCTTGTTGTTAAAGCCCAGGGAAGCTTTCAGGTGGGGAGGAAATTCTATCCCCACCAGGAGCTGTAGGTTAATACCTTGTGGATGCAGCACCTGGACATTTTGTCCTAGTGAATGAATCACCAGCTTGCTCCAGGTGGGTGCCCCAGATGTGTGTAGCAAAGAACCCCGCTGTGTGAAAGTCAGTTCCTTTTGCACTGCTCTGTTGCTCACATAGAAAGGGAGAGAAGACTCTTCTTTTGTGGTAGGAAGTCTCTAGGTACCTTCCAGCCAGTACCGTCTATCTTTTAGTATTTTCTTTTTACACATTGGGCTGAGAATAATATACAAGTTCACCTCTCTCCTGTGGTCCAGGCCATGCATTACTCTGAGCCCAAGGGGATGGGCCAGCAGCAGGAGGCATCAGTCATCTCAGGGCTCTGTCAGAGATGGAGAACACGGATGAACAAATGTGATGCTGGAGACAAACGTTAGCTGAGCCTATCAGGGTTGCATTGCACTAGCTGCTAATCCACGATCATTTAAAAACTTAATATCTAAGACAGTACTTAATATGATACTCTGTGTGAATCTGTGACTAATACAGTATTTAATGCTGAAATCTGTGGCAAGTAGTCAGGCATTTGGGTGGAAGATGTGCTGGGTAAGGGCTTGCTTATTTGATCCTCAGAAGAAACATGAACGTGATTCTTCCAAAGGAGTCTCGTCATGATAGTGCTGTGTTTCCTTTTCTTTGCTCAGCTTTCCTGTAGCAGTGAGTGGGATGAGACAGGAGAGGAGACATGGTACTTAAGAAAAGATATTCATAGCCAGCTTCCAGCAAGTCTTTGTACAAGAGTGTCACCAGCATAATGCAACCATACCTAAGTTGCTGGCCTCTCGCACAGTAAATTAAGAGGTGGCAGGTCTTGTGTTCATGGCTGCTGTGCTGGAACTAGCTGTGCTTTATTGGCGTGTCTCTCTCCTGATCTCAGTGAAGCCTTCTCTCTGCAATTCAGCAGTGCACAGGGCTGCTCTGGCAAACTTAAAATTTGAGTGGATCGAATGACCTCTTTAATTCTTGTGTTTTACTCCCTGCCAGCAACTACCCTGGAAAGCTTGAAACCTACAGGCATTTACATCTTTCCCTGTTAACTGAACATGCTTTCAGACCAGGACAGCTAAGGGTTTTGGGCTGTTGCTCTGGCAGAACTGAGGCCAGTGTGTTGTGCACTTGGGCGCAGTTATCCTGCCACTTCTCTAGGTGCTGCTGGAACCTTCCCTGAAGTGCCTTTTTGGCAAACCATGGCATAGGGCAGGTAACAGGACCTGCTCAGGGCTTTGTGACAAGAGAGGTGTGAGTGGGAGGTCCTATGTGCTGTGTTGTTGACCTAGCTTTCTCTCATACCATACAAAACTGCCATTCTGTTTTCTGTGCAGTTGTCTACTGGGGAGTATCTAGACAGTCCTTCCTGTTATCTTGTCCTAGCTGTGTGCTCTGCCCATCTTGCATTCCTAACTTAGCTGTGCTTAAATCTCTTTCCACACTGTCAAAGGCTGCATCCACACCTTCACTGATCTATGTTTTGGTTTGGTAGGTGAGCGAGTCAAGCACATAATAATTTAGCTGAGCTACTGAGGAGACATTGGAAGTATTTGACAACCTCTGAGAATCTTTCTGCTCCACAACACTATCAAGTGAATTAACTAGGTCAAGGAGTATCTTTTGGGTCAGTGCATGAACTGAGATCATAGCCAGCTTTTGCCAGGGGCAAGTTTCCGGAAACAACAGGGGACCGGCTCAAGTCACTAAACCCAGATAAAAGCCGTATACACGAAATGCGCTTACTTACAGGATTAATACTCAGGCTTTTAAATACTAATATCTCCCTTACCACTGACGTCAGCCTGCCAGCATGCCTGACAGGAGATGGAATAGCTGATCTTGCTTCTCTGCCCAAAGCCGTGGCACCCACTGTAGAGTTTGCAAGTGTTTTTAGCATAGATAGTTTCACTAAGCCATCTCTTGTCTTATGTTTCCACCACATGACACTGTCCATGCATTTGCTGTCCAGGTGCAGGTGCCAGCTATAATCAGACTGTGCCACACTTGAGATGCAGAAATCCCAGCACTGCTCTCAGTCTGGTAGAGCTCTGCTCTTGCCATACGGCAAAATATTGTCCCTTTCTATCTCTAAATTAGAGTGCAGAGCCCTCCTCTCTGAACTCCACTGGCATCTGCTAGCAGCACATTAGGGACTCCTTTCTTGGGCATGTGTCTAAACCGTCATATCAGCTCACCCTGGAGTTTTTTTAAAAGTTTATTTTTTGTGACTTTAAATTTGCCTACAAACAACCCACTTAATCTAACCCCTGTTTTCTCTTCGACATGTTTTAGCTCTGGAATTTATACTTGCATCTCAGCTTTTTAAAAGATTGTGTATGTAAATATATAATATATTTTTACATTGTTTATGCTTTGTTTGCACGCTTTTGGTGTAAAATTTGGTCCTGTAGTGGGATGATGTAATTCACAGTGGGGTTCATTTGTGTGTATCCCAGTGTCTCATTGTACTAAACTACACTGTATAACTTGTATGTGACACCACAGTAAGAGCGGAAATACAGTTTCCTTTCTCACCAAACCAGTGTCTGCAGTGATTGTTCCTATAAAGTTGTTCAGCTCTCTCTCTCTCTCCCTCCCTGATGACAGCCTGAAGAAGCATTGCTCGTTGTGGGAGGGACCTGGGTGAATTGTGCAAGGCATTGTGCTTATTGGGGTGATGTATTTGATTTTGCTATTTTGTAGTGAAGCTGCCCAGCATGCTGCTGCACCTCAGATAACTCCTACACGTTGTGCATGACCTCAGCGGAGCAATCTTCCCTTGTTGCAGGTAGCAGCAAAGGAGCAGCAGGCTGGGAGGAGGTTCTTCTTGGTGGTGGTGGGATGGGAGACGTCTCAAAGCATTAGTGCTGTCTCCAGCTGTTCCCAGTGTTTAAGGAACATGGTCTAAATTTGCAAGAGAGGTGAAAATTTGTGCATCTGCAGCTGAGTTTCCCAGATCTCCAGCTAACTCTGGGAATACAGAAAGTTCCCTCTGTGCCTATGTTTCTGCTATTAGGCCTGTCAGGAATTGCCTGGGTTGGATACAGCAACTAGCCTTTGCCTGAACACCAGACGCATTCGCAAAGTTTGTCTCCCCTGTGTGGTCTCATCTGGTAAGTGTGCTCACAGCACGCTTAACCCCGCACCATCAAGGGCGAAGCAGCAGCTCGCCCCTGAATAGCCTTGTGGTTAGAGCACTGGTCTTGAATGGGAGGAAGTGCATAGGGCAGGGTGCTCTGGAGGGGCAAAGGGAGAGCACCCCAAGCAGGGGCAGTGTGTAGTGCTGGTGGAGGTGGGCTGTGATGGCGAGGAACAGCAAGCCATGGGGTAACAGGGCTTCAAGGTTAGGATATCGCCCATTGTGCACCCTTGTAAAACCACGGGATTTATTGAATTAGAAACTCAAGGGAAGGGGCTGGAGAGGTGCAGAGCTGGCTGCAGCAGCAGCAGGAATGGTGTAAAACAGCTGGAAAAGGTGGGCATCTGAGGGCTTGTGTAGATTTAGACTGTTTCCTTGCTTTGCTGAACTGAAAGGGCCTTATGTGCCCTCACAAGATAAAGGGAAAGTGAGGAAAAGAACTGGGTATTAGATTACCCAGGAAAGCAAGGCAGAAAGCCAGTGATTTAGAGATAAAAGCAAGGGCTCTGCTGTGGACTATGCAGGGAACTATCCCATAAGCCCTAAACTGCTATTTCAACGGGCAGGAGGTGAGAGCAGGATACTGTCAATGTCTCTTGAGACTGTCCTATTGCTTTCTCCTCTGGAAAAAGGCCTGGGATTTCAGGACTGTGTGGACAGAGTAGGGTGGAACAGGATCCTCATGCCTGTTCATCCCTCAGGAAGAGGAGCTGAGATTTTGGAAAAGGAGGAGGTGGTGTGAGGAAGCGGAGCAGAGCAGGGGACGCACAAGGCGATGTGCTAAAATTTGGGGCCAGAAGTTATCCGTGGCAGAAAGGACTGCGGGAACCACTGCTCTACTCTTTAAACCAAACAAGCCCCCAAAATAGAAGTGGCTGCAAGTCTGTGAGGTGGACTGAAGCCAGTGGAGGTTCCTCCTGTACAAAACGCAAGCGCAGCCTGGGCTCTGCTCGCATCCCTGGAGTCTGCAGGATGGATATCACGCCAAGCGAGTAAGACCTCTCGAGCAGCTCTTTCCTTCCCAATTCTGCCGAGTTTGTTTTGTTGTAGGTGCTCTGACGAGTCCCCTGTGCCCCAATCCATGACTGGGTCTTCTGGGTCAGCATGGTTTGTGGTAGGGGGAGTCCGCAATGTGTTTATTCCTGATCATGTTTTCTGTAGCCCAGCTGGAGAGTGCAGAGGCTGGTGGGAGGCCATGGTAATTAGAACATTTGGAATAAATTTAGGAAGTGCTGGGACGGCATCTCCCCTTTGATGCTTTTCCTATAGGAGGAAAGAGTCCAAGGATCTGCAGCCCTGTGGTTAGGAGCACCAGCTGGTGTTGCTACACAGCGAGCTCCGATCTGGCTCTAGTTACAAATAAAATGAGTTTGCCGGGCTCAGCTGAATCCCCAGTGTACATCAGCAGTGCAGTGTGGTACAACTGGCAGTCTTCTCCAAAGGGACCCAGGAGCAGCTTTGCTGGGGATTTCTGGAGCAAGAAGTGAGAGGCCTCCTCAGGGAAAGGGAAGAGATCTGAAGCCCAGCTCTCCTGGCCATCGGCCTCAGCACCTCTGCCCCAGGGCAAGCAGCTTTTGGCAGCAGCGCTGGAGGGAGGGATGTGGGAAACTGGGCTGAGCCCAGCAGCTTGGCTGGGAGCAGGATGCCAGCACCCAGCCTCAGCCTTGGCCGTGGGTGCAGGCTGGGCAGTGGCCAGTGGAGGGCAGCAGTGGCCTAGCCATGGGGTACAGGCATGGATCAGCATGGTGGAGGAGTGTCCCTCGTGGGATCCCCCCAGCAGAAGGGCCCAGCATTGCCCGGGCACCCGCACTGTGGTGAGGTGCGTCCAGATGAGGCTCTTGGAGCCGCTGCAGCGGACAGGCAGGTGGACGAAGCACAACCCCTTTGGGGAGTGGTGTCTCCCATCCTGATGACAGTGCTGCCATCCCATCCAAGCCCCATGCATCCCTGTTTCTGTGCGGGCTGAAGCCTAGAGAAGTCCTTCTTTTACAGCTGCACCCCATCCCAGGGCAGTGGGAGCATCTGGCAGGCCAGTGTACTGTGGGATTTTGCTGGCCACGGAGCAGAAATAGCCTCCATTTGACTCCGGATTGTGGTCTCAGGGTATTTGCTTGCAGGGCGGTGGGTGCTGCACCCCAGGGCTGTGCTGAGCTGAGCTATCTGTGCTGGCAGGAGGGGATGAACTGTGGCTTGCAGTTACAGTGTGCCCTTTTGGAGCTCTCATTGCCTATCCCATAGCCCTGTCTGGGGACCATGGGGTCTTGCAAATATGTTGGCTCTGGGAGCTGCTCCTGCACTGGGAGGTCGCTCTTGGCATCATTCCCAGCTCATTCATGCTGAAATCCCAGCTGTTTTTGTTCTGCTAAGGAGCCACCAAGTCTCTGCCATCGATAGACATGTGACGGGGCTGACAGCACTGTGGCACAGACCCTGCAGCAGCACGTGAGCCCTTTCCACCCTTCCCAGAGCAAACATGGTGGGGATTCCTCCTTTGTCCCCTGTGATCGGCCCATTGGCTGAGCTCTGAGCCCGAGCAGGCTCCAGCACTGTGCTCCGGGATGTCCCCTGTGTGGGGGACTGCATAGGGGCCTCTGGGGAGCTCAGCATGGCCTGTCACGAGGGACACGTGGCACACGCAGAGCTTCTTGCTGGCATTCCCGTTGCTTGATGCTCAGGAATGTAGGTACCTGGCTGAGTCTCGTGAATGCCACTCATGGACGCTAGCTGTATTGGGTGTCAATATCCTTTCTGGTCCTGGTGGCAGACTTCTTATGGGTTCACAGCCACAAAACTACCTCTTGAGCTGCCTGCAAGGGCCAAAGCAGAGCCTCCTATGAGGTATAAAGAGGAGGTGATCTCCCCTGATGCTTGGCTCAGAGTGGGGAATCTGAGTCCCCCTCCAAGCTATAGGGTGGTTTTTGCACCTCGGTGAACGTGAACGCCCTCCAAAGGAAGGGCCGAGCAGCCCTTGGCTGCCTAGGTCTGTAGGAGAAAAGCCTCCTCCTCTCCCAGAGAAAGGTTTCCAGTCCCTGCTCCAAACCAGGCAGGGTAGGATTTGAACCCAAATCATCGTCCCTCTGGCACTGGGATATGACAAGTGGACAGAGGGGTCCTCAGGGGATGCTGAGTTCATAGATAGTCTTGTGGTCCCATTTGGCTCTAAAGGGTCAGAACAACCCATCTTGGCAGATTGAGTCCAGCACACCAAGTCCACCCTCTTGCCGTGAGAGTCCTTTTTTACCTGAAAGCTCCCTGAAGTCTTGGAGGATCCCAGCTCCTTTCACAGGGTGGACCAGAGCCTTCATGCTCGCTGAAGGACAGCAGTAATAAAGGATGTGGAGGGAGATCTGCCTCCTTCCAGCAGTGAATGGTCAGCAAGGACCAGCTGTCCCACTTTTACCTGTTTCCAGGTGCATTAAGCAGGATGCTGGTTGCCTCTTGGCCCGTGTCAGTGTGAACCAACTGATGGCACCAGCAGCTCCAGTGAGGTGACCAATGGTGGTTCTGGAGCTGAATTTTGTCACTGCCCTGAGATGTTCCTGTTCCCTTTTGACTGCAGTCCCATCCCTTTGCACTCCTGTTATGGTTTGGAGAGATCATGGGAAGCCTGTGGTTCCCAGGGTTTACTCTAGTCCGATCTTAACTCCATGTAAGCCCCAGACTGAGTCCAGTTATGCGTCCAGCTGACCACTTTACCACATAATAGGATGATTTTCGTGGAATTGTCCAGTTTTCACATAACTGGAGGTGCAGCAGCATGCATATCATTTGGCACTTGGCTGCATAAGGAAGTCTTTAGAAGTTGGGCAGTGTGTGATGAATTTGGCATGCATACTATAGCTTGCAGAGGACTTTTGGTGTTGGAAGGAACATGCCATGAACCGCAGCCCTGCCAAGCTCTACTGCAGCTTTGTCACACTGTGAGTGCATGTCTCCAACAGCTTGCTAAGAGACACTATTGAGGGCTTGTCACCCTCACAGCCAGTTTGTAGATGGTCCATTGTTTGTCCGTGTCAGCTGCCCTGATCCCATCTTCCTGCCTGAGCAGCACTCAAAAATATTCAAAGCACCATTAACAAAAACAACAGATTTTTTGCATTTTAGCAATCTGCTTTCAAGATGTGGGGAGGCCGGAAGCGGCATTTCAAAGGGTTCGAGCTTTGCAGCCCTGCCAGACGTGGAGGCTGCCGCAGCTGAGCTGCGCTGGAGTGGCTGGAAGTGGGTCTTGAAAGGATGGGTTTGATTGGAGAAGGATGCCCAGTGCCTGCTGGGCAGAGTGAAGCTCACCTTGGTGTGATGGGTCCAAAAACCTTGACTGTGTTCCCTCTAGTGGGCTCCGGGGTTGTTCCTAGGGGTGTCCAACAGCTCTAAGGCATGGGGCAGAGCCTGGGACTCCATAC